TATATATATATGTGTATATGATATGTATATGTATATATATTTCCCGTTCAAAATCGTAAGCTGCTGCTGGCGCGCTCCCGCTTCGGTATTTGCTGCCGTTTCACATTGCTGGCTAGCAACAAGGACAACGCGACGAACGAAGCGAAATAGAGATAGGACGCCGCTAACTGTGGCGGCACCTAGCGAGGTTAATATTATCCTTCCTTTATTCCCCCCCTCGCGTTGCCCACCCTGCAACCACCAACTCACTACTACACACATTCGCTACAAAGTGAAGCCTTCAGCGTGGCAAATCGTGGACGCTCGTGGCCGTAATGTATAATACATGCGTTTTCGTACAAGCTTTCAACATGGGTTTTATGCTCATGTAGAAAAGATCCCGTTATTCTTAATTAATCGCTATTCTTTGTCTTGAAAGCAGCAGCAGCAATCTTGAAATCAACATTATAAAAAGAACTGATTAAAGACAAATTAATATAAACATTCTTTTTCCCGCGTATATTATATATAGAAGATATATGGACTTGCCAAGATTATACCGGTTTCGCCCGGTGAAGGATTTCCGCGGGAAATATATATCGCGCGATAAAAGCCGACGCCGTTGTCGTCGTATCATCACCGGCAATGTCTAATCGACGCGAGCCGGCAGATCGATACGTCGTCGACCGCTTTCTGGTCGATGCGCGTGGCGTAGGAAGAACCGGCGGCCCCAACAACGATTTCTCTCGCTGAGGGCGAGTGAGAGAGGAAGCCGCGTGAGAAAAGAACACCAATATCTCGTGAGGAGAACTGAAATGGAGGGATCGTCCTTGTGTATTCTCTCGTCCTCTCAGAGTTCGACGAGGGTGGCCCGGGGTGGTTCCCGCGGAAACCACCGCGTGTGTGTATGTGTGTGTTGTATGTATGGAAGCGCGCGTGTGCACGCACGTATACATAGACGACGTAAACAAACGAGCGAAGTGGTCGAGCATGATGGACAAAAGGAACACGAGGCCGTCGCCGATCGACGACGATGCCGCTCGTCTTCGATCGTACACGAGCGGTCGCGGAGAGGAATGGAGGAGTAGAAAGGGCAAAGAGGATCCGGCGCGAGACGATGATGCCGCCATAAAGCCACCGCAAGTAGAGCACGCGTCGGGTCGGGTCGCGTCGCGCGCGCGGCGGCAAGGGCAGGTAATTTCCAGCGATCGTTAGGCGTACCGCGAATCGGCCTGAGAATATCGTCGCAGCGAGATAGAGAAAGAGAGGGGCATTGCTCGCCGATCCGTCCCCCCGCGCGCACCGCACATCCCCCCTTCCTTCACTCGTGCTCGCCAACCTTTCTCGCGGCGGTTCCGTGAATATCTCATGATAATTCGAAAGCGATCGAGCAAGCATGATGAGAAAACGACGACAACGACAATGGAAAGAAAAGCGACGAAAGACGAAGTCGTCCGATCGCGGAAAACGCGATCCTACGGCTTAGCGCGCGCCACAGAGAACCGACGCCGAACGCGCGCGGTCGTGCGATTTTTCTGCCGACGAATCGATATCACGATACCGCATATTTACGTATTAGTAGATGCATATATATACTCACTTGGCTTCTGTATCCGCCATATCGATCGATTTGATTGCGAGAAATATACGCACAAACAGCACCGAACTCGCAAAAGCACACTTCAACCGACACAGCGGTTACGCGTCTTCTACGCACCGGTAAGCACACGTCGAGAGATTCCGGTAACACCGCTGCCGCGTACCGACGCGCAAATGGCAGAGGGAAACGCGCACTGATTCGCCCGAGACTCGAGCGACTCCGGCCCGGCCGGCGGACCGGCGGCCTTCAAACACTTTCCTTTCCCGCTCGTTTATAGATGGCACGCAAATCGCGCCAGTCGTACCAGTCGTACAGCTTGTGTGCGCGCGCCGTTCCTGCGCCGTTCCGCGCTGTTCTCGTGTTTATAATGGAGAGAGAAATCGTCAAGTTCTCGTTACAAACAAATAAATATAGATAGTATAAAAGCGAACGTAAGGAACAAGGAATAACATTATATTTCACAATTATTATCTTATTCTAACGAATTGATATCTTATTCTAATGGTATTGTATGTATGTAATCTTGTTGTGGTTATGTACGAATCAGCATTCAAAAATGCGATTAAGAAAGATAAACCATATATTTATTGATTGTCATCTAATGGAAATATAATTTCATTAGATTAGTTTTTGATGCTACAAAGAAGAATTACTCAATTTATGTATACAAATAGAAATATGCTAATTAGTGTATGAAACGCTATGTTTCTGTATTCACAGCTCTGAATATGATTGAAGTTGTTTAGTTCGATAATTGTTACATATTAATATGTTGGATGTACTGTTATTCCTCGTTCGTGCTATTCAGTAGTTTTCATTTTTCGTGTTTTGTTGTGTGTTTGTTGTGTTCTCTTGCGTGTATCTACAAAATTCTCTTTCATCCGCAAAAATATCACCTGCATTAGGTATGATTTCGTCAAACGAAGACGATTTTAGAATTCCAGTAGAGAAAATTTTTTTAAAGCTATTGATTTTTTTTTTATTTTCAGGAAGGCGTTGGCGGTTGGATCTTTGAGGTTGGATTTGGATCTTCGAGGAAGATTTTAGATTTTCGGGATGGTGTAATCAACGTCGGTGAGTAGATTCAACTACTTCCTCTAAATGCGCTAGACATCAGAGAGAGATCGTGTACGAAAGCATTGGTGGAAACAAGTTTGATTATTATCCACGCCAACGCGATCGAAAGCGAGTGAAGTAAGGGAAACGCGATATCGCAAATATGGCCGTTCAATTATTCGCGGCATAAAGTTTGTTGGAAGTAGCGGCATCGACTCGATGTATCCGACGATTCCCCTTCTCTAACTTCTTCTACCTAGCCTAACCCCTCTACATGCAATTACCTTCCCATTTTACATTGAAAATCCGCGCATTTGCAATATAAATTATCTATTTTATTTGAATACATCTTATTTTGCTTCGCGTAAAAACGTGATTTTATATTTTGTCAAATAATCTACCGCATCGATTAAGTCGCTCGCTCGGTTGTTCGTACCGAGAGTCGAGCATTTAACATCATCTACACGGCACGCTTGGGAAAGTTCTAGAAGTTTCGCGGCATGGCAGCGCTTCCGGTGTGCGAGAAAGGTGTGCGACGACGGCGCATCGTTGCTCGCCTTCACGTCCATGTTACAGGTTGCTCTCGAACTCGATAAACACGAGAGTCCCTTGTAGCAGCACGAGCCTGCAATAACGTTGCTAGCCGACGGAGAAATCAAATCTCTCGATCTCTTTTTAAAAACAGGTTGTATTTATATCGTCCTTACGCATTCGCTCTCACTACTTTTTTATGGAGGATTAGTGTATGGAAAAAACATTGCGAAGAAATACATAATTACATCCTAAAAAAATCAATATTTGAATCAGGACATAATTATTTGTACAATAGACCTAACTTTGAATTATATTTGATTAATGTTGTGATAATTGTCGTGATGTGAATATTTATGAGTTAGTGTTAAAGCTGAGTAAATAGAATAAATCACACGATACAAAGATATTAGATATTTACATCCATATATATATAGAAAATATTAGCACTTATACTTAGATCTAACAAGGATTCTGAGAAACGTCTGAAAATATTCATGCAAAACTCGGGATAATTTATTAATCGTTGTCGCGAGCGCAGTTTTTAGCTGTGCCTCACTGCAGTAGTGTGCTGTTTCGATCGTTCCGTAAATACATTTTTTGTTCTGGCACACGTGCCAGCAGTCCACGTAAGCACAAAGATAACCAGAGCGAGCAGCAGCTGCTGTGCATCGTGCGCAGGTGAGGAGGCGAGGTGGCCAGATGCCTCCTTCCGAGCATCTTAGCCGACGAAGCCGGCTCGGTCCGGGCGTACCCTTACCAAGATCCGCTCAGAATTTTCGACCGAACTTTCACAGGGGGAAAGCAATGTCCAATAAATACGCGTGCGCTTGTAAGAGTGGAATATTTATTTTCTCTCTCTTTCTCTTGTTTTCCTTCGTGCGCTTTCTCTCCTTTTCTCCCTTCCTCGTTCTCTCTGTCTCCCACGCGGTTCCGTCGAGACTGAAATCGCGGCGATGGTTTGTCTTTTTTTTCAGATTTCTTACGTAATTCGCCCGTGGCAAAACCAGACATAATAAATTAACGACATTCACGTTGATTATAATAAAAATTATCTGCTGGTCGATACAAGAGACCGTTTCACGGTGTTCGATTTACTCTCTCGAATTTGGTACTCGATAAGAGCCGAGCTCGTTTTTACTGGGTCAATGGATGTGTCCGCCACGGACACGGTTCTATTCCAACGACAGTAACCTATATTCACCGGTAGCTTTTGCAGTGTGTTGGGACCGCTAAAGATAGCGGCGCGCATCTAAATTTTCATTTCGCTGGACTAAATTCTCACTTTGCACCGGCGATACGTGTCTCTTATTAAGATGCACTTCGCCGTGCATTTTCGGGTCTAGGTTCCCGAGATGCGGTAATTCGCGGGCTGTGTCGCGACACAGAAGGAGCGGGAAAATCAGAGAGAGAAAGCGAGAGGATTCGGAATTAGAAATGGAAGTACACCGACGCCGGTCGACACGTATTTCCAGTGGGGCCTACATACAAATATGCTTATTAATAGCGTCCCGAATAAATACCGTCCCAAGGATACATGCGGAGTATTGCGTTTTCGCGACGATCTATGCAAAGTCCGCGTGCAAAAGCACGAAGCGTAAAAAAAACTTATTAAATAATTTACATGTAGAGCGATATATTTTAGAAGACTCATACTTTCAGGACAAGTATTCTTGACTTGAAAATACAGGTTGTCGGTCGTGAATTATTATGTTTCAAACGATGTACGATATCCAGATAATTTTCAGTCTAATTATTGTGCTTATGCAATTTGACGATTATCTCGAAGAAAGTTATTTTATAACTCAAGATTAGATTAGCGATGCCGCCTTCTCTCTGCGATATTCCACGTAAGAAACTAGCGTGCTTCCCTTCGACAAATTGGCTCGCCGCTTCGGGTCATGGAATCAATAGAGAGCGTGGACGCGCGCATCCTGTAGGGTAGAATCAAACCGGGCTTAACCCTAAACAGCACAAGCGAACTCCCACAGGCCCTTTGTGTATCTCCAACAATATTGGAATACACATACAACGGTGGTGTACATGCAATTTATTGTGGGCTATCTTTGCAAGACACGTGATTGAAATAGAAATAACACACATTTCATATATATATATATATATATATATATATATATATATATATATATACAAATACACTTATACGCATAAAAAGTCTGGATAAATAAGATTCTAAAATAATCTTAAATATCATTCTTTTTTATTACGTATACCATTTATCTTATATCTTATCTTATATCTTGACATAGCATTTCTTCCTGCTGTTCAAATCACAGTAGGTTGTTTCCTTCCAAGATACATCTCATTTGTCCAGCTCTCATTTGAGTCCTACGCTCTGGTGTGATTAATCGGCCGTTTATAACTACCGTTCGGCGGTATAAGTTTCTCGGTATAGATATAAATTATCGTCTCGGATACTTGGTTATACCTTTATCCACCGTGGTGTTCACAACGCGATGGTGCTACATACGAAAATGCCGCGTATGTTCGAGCAGGCCTGACCCGGTCGCACCTTTTTGATTCGCGAGCAACCGGTTCGCGAACGTTCCGTCCTCCTCTCGCTCCGACCTCACTCTCCTCATCCCTTAGGCTTCTCTCTCTCTCTC